GGCCCTATGCCCCACCCGGCCTAGCCTCCAGCACTTAAACAAAAAACAAAAACCCCACAGTCACCGGCTCTGGCAGTGGTGATTGGGGGCTTGTGGCAGAGCCCCCCCCGTGCAGGGCAGGGAAGTGGGATTTGCCCCCCCGCCTGGCACCCACGTGGCACCTGTTGTGTTGCTCAGCACAGCACCACGTGCTGCCTGGGAGTTGGGGTGGCACCACGTGTCACCCAGATCCTGGCACTGCTCAGTCAAAAACCCCACAGTCACCGGCTCTGGCAGTGGTGATTGGGGGCTTGTGGCAGAGCCCCCCCCGTGCAGGGCAGGGAAGTGGGATTTGCCCCCCCGCCTGGCACCCACGTGGCACCTGTTGTGTTGCTCAGCACAGCACCACGTGCTGCCTGGGAGTTGGGGTGGCACCACGTGTCACCCAGATCCTGGCACTGCTCAGTCCCAGCCCCTAGACAGTGCACAGCACCCTGCTAAGCTGTGCTGTACCTACGCCATGGGGCAGCTGCCGTGCGGGTACCAAGCAGGGGGGGGTGATCCCCGCTGCCCTGTGCTGCGTGGGGAGGCTCTGTCACAAGCCCCCAATCGCTGCTGCTGCAGCCACTCAGTGCAGAGTTTGTTTTGGTTTATTTTTAATTGCCAGGATGCTGGGGCCAGGCAGGGCATCAGGCGGGGGCACAGAGATTGGGGAGCAGGGGCTGTAGGGGGAGGAGGACTCTGCCACATGGCCCCAGAGCCCCCACAGCCACTGCTACTGCCAGTGTGTGTGTTTTGTTTTGTTTTTTTGATTCCTGGACTACAGGGGCTGGGGGGGGGGCTCTGCCAGGAGGCCGCAAAGCCCCCTTAGCCACTGCTACAGCCAGTGAGTGTGGGGCTTTTTTCTTTTTTTTAAGTGCCAGGAGGCTGGGCAGGGCAGCCATGGGGGCTCCTCCTGCACCTCCCCCGACCTGGGGACAGGCAGGCACAGCTGGAGGAGCCACAGGAGAACCTGCAGCCTGCCACCAGGCCAATCTGAATCACCAAATCTCTGAATCAGCACTGAATCTTCTGAAGCTGATTCAGCCAAGTCAATTCAGCACAGTGATCTGAATCTCCAAATTGAGTCACTGTCCTCCAAATCAACCAAATCCAAATGCGAATCAAATACTTCCCTATTCGCACAGGGTGTGTGTGTGTGTGTGTGTGTGTGTGTGTGTGTGTGTGTATGTGTACACACGTACACTATCTTCAGGAGAACACGTATTGTGTGTGTGCATGCACACACATGCGCATACACAATCTTTGGGAGAGCTTGTATTGTTTTGAAGTTGTATGCTGTCCTAATCAGCCAGCTTACAATTGTTCCAGGAAATCAAATGACCCATCATGCAACTGAAGTCAGAACTACAAACAGGCCAAAACGCATTGTTCAGTGCTGCCCCCCTGTGACAAAGTTTTCAGTGTTATCAATATCTAGCATGTAACATTTGTCTAGTTACACAGGACCACTCCTGTAAATTGCTTTGAACTGCTGTGCTCTTCAGAGAGGCTCCATGTAGATATAGGAAATAGTCCACATTCAGGAAACAGCACGAGGTCATTGATAGCAACACACTGGTATCAGCTCTTAAACTATAGTGAACAAACAGGTTTTTAAAAATCTCTAGCTCTGGCTAGAATGAACTGCCTTAAAAAGTGTTGTGAGGTAAATACAAAGATCACCAAAGTTATGCACCAACAGCTGTACACATACCATACATTAGAAACCCCAGGTAGTGTGAAGGGAGGCAGATAATTTAAATACATCTGTTTTATGTTGATTCAGGAAGGCTAAGGGAAGGAAAGGGTATACACAGAAGTATATAATGAATTAAACTTTTTCTTGAGGCAAGGAAGCACCATGGGACAAAATGTTCTCAGGTAGTAAGGGTTTTTGCCTAGTTTCAATAACTCATTTGTGTCTGTTCCAAAAGCAAAGCCAAAAGTCATGGCAGGAGCAAAGCTCCACATAAAGGGATGTACCTTCAGTCCACATGACAGCAGCTGCTGTGGGTCATCAAGCTGGTTTACCAGAATTAAGCATCTTACCACTATGTCAATGTCATTTTCTAGGTCTTCATCTTAAATTTCACCCTGTCGGTAAATTACCCCATGTGCAATGTAGGCTAAAATTGCAAAACCAAGTATTTTCATAAAACTTTCACTCCAAGATGTATCCAAGTCTGATTTAAATAAAAAAACCCTCAATCTGAAGACAAAAGGAGGGCTCATGCATACAAAAATAAAGTGGAACCCTTATAAAATTATCAACTGTTGTACAGCTAAGAATTTGTAGTCAAACTCAATGCTTTTAATTATTAAGTTATTATTATATTGTTTGTATTGGTATATTAAATATAGGGAAAGGAATATCCCAGGTACCAAAAAAAATCTATTCATCTTGAACAACATTAGGCACCAGCATTTTCTCCTAGCTGTGTGGCATACGTGGCCATGCAGGTGCAGTCATGCCTCGCTGCCAGGTGCACCTGCGTGGCCACACATGCCACGCAGCTTAGAGGGAGCAGTGTTAGGCACTTTGCTAGAAAATACAACAGCGTTAAAAAGGGTAGTTTAAATTGTTTTGCTATCCAACACCATCAAGACTAACTTTTAGTATACAATTTGGGCTCATAAATTTCTACATAAGATTATGCAGGAGGAAGAGGACTAAGTTAGTCCCTAACACTGTTCTGAGTAAATTGCCCATTAAACTGTGGATTATCATTTTAAAATACATAAGATACATTGAGATGGCTGAATTGTGCACTGCAGTTTGGTATCTCCCTGGAAGCTTGAAAAAAAATTATTCAACAGTTTTTCCTTTCTCCTTTGGTGAAC